TCCCCTCCTCCTCCTCCTCCTCCTCCTCCTCTCCTCCTCCTCCTCCTCATCCTCCTCCTCCTCCCCCTCCTCCTCGTTCTCCTCGTCTTCCTTCTCCTTGTCCTTCTCCTTCCCTATTTTTCCACCTTGCTCGTCGTCGTCGCTGTCGTCATCCTCTTTCTCCTGTTAGACAGGTTCCAGATCCTCCTGCTTCTCCTCGCCCCCCCTCTTCCCCTTCCACTTTTTCTCGACCGTCGTCGTCGTCGTCGTGGTCGTCGTGGCCGTCGTCGGCGTCGGCGTCGTCGTCGTCGTCGTCGTCGTCGTCGTCGTCGTCGTCACGTCGTCGTCGTCGTCGTCGTCGTCGTCGTCGTCGTCGTCGTCGTCGTCGTCGTCGTTGTTTGTCGTCGTCGTCGTCGTCCTCCTCCTCCTCCTCCTCCTCCTCCTCTTCCTCCTTCCTCCTCTGCCCCCCTGCCCCTCCTGCGCCCCCGTCCCTCCCCCACTCCTCCCTCAGGGACGTGGGGGGGGGGGGCGAGGCCAACCGTGGGACTACGTCGCCGTGATGCAGGAGGGGGACACGACGCTCGGGTTCAAGGCGCGCGCTCGCGCCGCAGCCTCCTCGCAGCAAGCTCCTCGCCACCTCCCCCTCGGGGGCGTGGTGCCCGCCGTGCGCTCTCGCGCCCTCCGCCGCCAGAGGCGCGCGCGCACCCCTCGCGGCGCCGTCGTGGCGAGGGCAGCGTGCTGCAGGTTCGCGTCGTGTCGACGCCTCCTCCTCCTCCTCCTCCTCCTCCTCCTCCTCCTCCTCCTCCTCCTCCTCCTCCTCAGCCTCCTCCTCCCCTCCTCCTCCTCCTCTCCCCCTGCCCCCTCCTCCTCCTCCTCCTCGTCCTCGCCTACGTCTTCCCTCCTCCTCCTCCTCCTCCTCCTCCTCCTCTTCCTCCTCAGCTGTCGACACCTCTTCCTCTTCAGCTGGCCAAGGCACGGGGGCTCGTCCCCCGGTCCACAGGCCTGGCTGCTCGTAAGCGCGTGGAGCAGGCGCGTTCCACCGGGCCACCGGCCACCCAGCCGAACGCGTGGTCCCGCGGGGCTTCAAGACGATTATGCTGCCGCAGCACGCCTCTTGCGCACTGCCGGCATCTTGTGACTCAGATGGGCACTCGGGGCCGAAGAAAGGTCGTGCTGGCCCCCCCCCCCCCCCCCTCGCGCCTCCTACTTACTCCTCTTCCTCTCCTCCTCCTCCTCCTCACCCCTCCTCCTGCTCCTCCTCCTCCTCTTCCTCCTCCTCCCCTCCGCCTCCTCCTCCTCCTCTCCTCTCGTCCGCCTCCTCCTCATCCTCCTCTTCCACCCCCCTCCTCCTCCTCCGTCCTCCTCCTCCTGCTCCTCCTCCTCCTCCTCCTGCTCCTCCCCTCTTCCTCCTACTCCTCCTCCTAAATCCTCCTCCTCCTGCTCCTCCTCCCTCCTCCTCTCCGCCTTCCTCCTCCTTCTCCTCCTCCTCTGCCTCGTAATCGTCCTCCTCCTTCCCTTCCCCTCGCCCTCCCCCTCCTCCTCCTCCTCCTCCTCCTCCTTTCATCCTCCTCCTCCTCCCCGCCTCCTCCTCCCTCTATCCTCTCCTCCTCCTCCTCCTCCTCCTCCTCCTCCATCCTCCCCGCCCCCCTCCCCCTCCTCCTTCTCCGCCTCCCTCCTTCCTCCGCTTCGTCGTCCTTCTCCTCCTCCTGCTCCTTCTACCTCCGCCTCCGCCTCCACCCCTCCTCCTCCCCTTCCCCCTCCCTCTCCTTCCTCCTCCTCCTCCTCCTCCTCCTCCTCCTTCCTCCTCCTCCTCCTCCTCTTCCTCCGCCTCCTTCTCCACCCTTCTTCTCCTCCTCCCTTTCACCCCCCTCCCCCTCCTCCTCCTCCTCCTCCTCCTCCTCCTCCTCCTCCTCCTCCTCCTCCTCCTTGCGCGCTTCTTGGCTGGCATTTTCTGCGGAACAGGCGCACCGAGTCCGTGGCATTGCCGACTTGCTGGATCACCTCGGGCATGCAAAATTCTTGCTGTCTCGGTGCGGCGACGCCCCCAGCGAGGGAAGCCCGCGACGCCAGACACCGCGACGCCAGACACCGCGCCAGACAACCGCGACGCCAGGGCTGGCGTCGTGGTGCCAGCGTTGCGAATGCGGCGTCGTGGCTTTTGGCGTCGCAGTCTTGTGGCGGCCCCAGCGCGGGCGGTCGGCGTGGAAAGAAGCCGGTTGCTTAGAATCGGCCGGTATCGGTATCGAGCGGTCTGCGCTACCCGCGACCTGTCCAGACTGAACGATCAGCGCGGTGTCAGAACCAAGGCGAAGGCCGTCACGACACGAACCTGTCGCAGGCGAGCGCCCGCCGAAGCCACCCACGCTGCCCTCGTGCTGCCCCAAGCCGTCGGTCGCGCTGCACGACTCGGGCTGGCGCAGCGTAGCCGCGACCATCTCGATCAGTCAGCGGGATGGGCGCGGGAATCTGTAGTCCAACTTCGATGTTTTGCTTCCTGCGGCAGGTGATCCGCCTATGCTGGCGCCCCGAGCCTGCGTGGAGAGGAGGACGGCATTACGATTGGATGGATGTTCGGGCGGGAGGGTGGGGAACAAAACAAATATCCTCGGTCGCGTTCCCGTCTCGGAGTAGGGGGGTACGCGCGCGTGCGCCCTCTCGCGACCGTTCGCCGCGGTTGTCCGCGCTGCCCGCTCGCACTTCTCCACGCCCTCGGTCGCGTTCCCGCAGGGCGTCAGGGGGTGCGCGCGTGTGCGCCAGAAGCCGCTTTCCACCCGGGAACTCAAAGCAGTCCCTTGCAACATGAGGGCCGGGCTTACCGCTTGCTTCTCGTCCACAAGGCCAGGTGAAATTATGTAGCTCGTAGGGAAGCCCCAAACTCGCACTCACTTGACTCGTACGCACTTTACTCGCACGCGCTTAACTTGCGCACACACGCACACACACACACGCACACTTAACTCGCACACACTTGACTCGCGCGCAGCTGAACTGGCACGCACTGGAGTCGCACAGGCTGAACTGGCACGTACTTAACTCGCCCGCGCCGAACTCGCACGCGTGATGCAAATATCACAGGGTTGCTGCTCTCCAGCTTGCCAGTTCAGTCCGTGCGAGCACAGTTCGCGCGAGTACAGTCCGTGCGAATACAGTCTGTGCGAGTACAGGCCGTGCAAGTTCAGCGGAGTGCAAGTTCAGCGCCGTGCGAGTTCATATCCGGGTGAGTTCAGTGCGCGTGTGAGTTCGGTGCGTGTGCGAGTTCAGCGCGTGCGAGCTTAGCTTCGTCTGTGTCGGGATGCTCGCAGGTGCCTGCTCTGAGAGTGTGCTCCTTGTGGTAGGCCCGTGTGTGCCCCATCCGGCCCTTCTTGACAGCAGCGCCACCTCGCCGCCGGAGGAACATGAACGATGCAGCATGCGCACGAGCTCGCAGGCACGGACGGACATGGACGGGGGGGAGGGCCCCCGCGACGCTTGGGGCGAGGGGGCACACGGGGGGAGCTTGCTCCTACTCGCCAGCCTCTCTTCCCGCCTCCTCCGTGTTTTCTCCCTCCCTCTGGCGCCAGCTCCGCTCAGGCCCTCTCCTCCCGCCCCCACCCCTCCCCTCTCCCTCTTCGTTCTTCCCTCCTTCTCATCCCTCCTTGAGCTGGGCCATACAGCCAACCCGCACAGTAAGGATGAGCAGCAACTTGCCAGGGTTACTCTTGCATCCTTTCCATTGGGCCCATCCTTGGCCACTTATGCTGGCCGCGCGCCGGTCGCACAGTGTCGACAAAGCCTTCCAAGGCCCTTTCATCCTTATCCTGTGTCCTTATAATAGGTGTTGACTGTAAACAACACTGTCGTGCGCGAGCGGTAAGTCTCGCTTCGAATCCCTCCGACATCATCCAGAAACATGCGCAGGCCTTCGAAGACCCCTTCGCAAGACCCCAATAATCCCCGAATGCCCCCGAAATACTCTGGCAAGCCGTCGGCAACCTCCGAAAGCACACGCGGGCTGCGCAGCCTGCAGTCGTCGCATTCGCCGCCGTCGTTGCCGCTTTTGTCGTCGCAGACGACGTCCGCCGTGGGTCGTCGGTCGGTCGGTCGGTCGGTCCGTCTTCGTCGTTGTCGTCGTCTTTTGTCTGCTTTCCTGCCTGTCTGCCTATGTGTCTGTCTTTTTGTCTGTCTGTCTGTCTTTCTGTCTGTCTGTCTGTCTTTCTGTCTGTCTATCTGTCTGTCTTTCTGTCTGTCTGTCTGTCTGTCTGTCTGTCTGTCTGTCTGTGTGCGTGTCTGTCTGTCTGTCTGTCTGTCTGTCTGTCTGTCTGTCTGTCTGTCTGTCTGTCTGTCTGTCTGTCTGTCTGTCTGCCTGTGTGTCTATCTGTCTATCTATATCTCTATCTCTCTGTCGTCATCTCGTCGTCGTCTGGCGTCGTCGTCGTCGTCGTTGTCGGCGTCGGCGGCGTCGTCGTCGTCGTCGTCGCCGTCATTGTTGTCGTCGTCGTTGTCGTCGCCGTCGCCGTCATTGTCGTCGTCGTTGTCGTCGTCGTCGTCGTCGTCGTCGTCGTCGTCGTCGACGTGCGTCCTTGTCGTCGTCTGTCGTCCTTCCTTTGCCGTCTGTCGTCGCCGTCTGTCGCCTGTTGTCCGTCATCTGTCGTCCCTCGTCGCACGTCGCCGCCCCGAGATGCAGTTCGACAGAGCGGAGACGATCGCCGTGAACGTCGTGCAGCCTGGCGGCGCGGCAGAAAGGCGCCAGCTGGCTCGCGGGGGCGACGAGGGGAGGGAGGAGGCGCGAGCGCCGAGACGCTCCACGGCATCTCAAACAGTGGCGAAGCGTCTTGGCCTTCTTATAGTCCCACCAGAGAATGTTCTAAGAACCCTTTGTGGTTTGCAAGACATGTTCTTAGAATATTTCTGGTTGTGACCGTCTTGTTTTAACACGTCGGCTGCACGTTCTCAGAACATTGTTTCTGTTCTTAGAACCATTCTTTGGTTCTCAGCAAATTTCGTGGTACACCTATGGGAAAGCCGGGACGGTCGGTCCCCGCTCAAGCATCGAGGCCGCAGGTGTGGCAAAGGCAACCCCAGGCACGCCAGGCACACCAAGACACTCCGGGCACCCCGCCCAGGCACACCGCCGGGCACGCCGTCGCACGCCTCACACCCGCCCTCGGGGGCCCAGGAGGGCGAGCACGACCGATCGCAACCACATCGGACCGATCGTAAACCAATTCGGACCGATCGCAACCAGTTGCGATCGGTCCGAAGTGGTTGCGATGTTTTTGGGTCGTTTCAAGAAGGTTTTGATTAAGAAAGAGATCATAAGAGCGCTTCTGGTTTCAATGTGTTCCCTTAACCGCCCAATGGGAATCTGGAAAACCGGTTGCGATCGGTCCGATCACAGACGGCCGATCATGATTCCAGCTAAACACATGTATTGGAGCTCGAACGTGGCCATGATCCGTATACGATTCCTATGGGATTCGCATACGGTCAAAAACCGAAGCTGAGCGAAAACGCGGGGCGTGAAACAATTGCATCTCAGGAGGGGGAGGAGGAGGAGGAGGAGGAGGAGGAGGAGGAGGAGGAGGAGGAGGAGGAGGAGGAGGAGGAGGAGGAGGAGGAGGAGGAGGAGGAGGAGGGAGGAAGGAGGGAGGAGGAGGAGGACGGAGGAGGAGGGGGAGGAGGAGGAGGAGGAGGAGGAGGAGGCGGAGGCGGAGGGAGGAGGAGGAGGAGGAGGAGGAGGAGGCGGAGGCGGAGGAGGAGGAGGAGGAGGAGTAGGAGGAGGAGGAGGAGGAGAGGAGGGAGGAGGAGGGAGGAGAGGAGGAGGAGGAGGAGGAGGAGGAGGAGGAGGAGGAGGAGGAGGGGGGGGGGGGGTAAACGGAAGAGGACAGGATGGCAAGGCGGGTAGACGCGGCGGCCCAAGCCCCCAACGTCATGACTTTCCTGGACGTCGACCCCCAGAGGTCTGGACGAATTGCCCTACGGTAGGTTCGTGCCGCGTCGGCACCCGCAAGGCTTTTGGCACCGCGTGGATCGTTCAACCTTGAATCGATCGTGGCCCCGATCGTTCAATATTGAATTTCGTCGGGTACAGTGGGCCCAACGTGTCCCTCGGTGCTTCCGCGTCGCAAAATGCAGCCTTGAACGCCTTGGCCAACGTCGCCGGCGCGCCAACGCCGCATGAACCTGCAGTAGATCAGCATTACATACTGAGTCACTTTTGGGCGGCCCCTGGGCCCGGCGATGGCCCCCCGAGCCCGAAACAAAAATAGATGTTGTCACGACGCCAGGCGGTCTGGGCCGGTGGTGGTTGTGGGAACCATTGCTGGGGGACGTGTGCGCCCTGCGCGGCCTGCGAGACCTTGGGCGCCCGTGCGACACGCAGGACCTGTCGGACCTTTTGGGCCTGCGGGGCCAGGCCTCTCAGAAGCCTCTCCGAAGCCTTTCCGAAGCCTCGCAGAAGCCTCTCAGAAGCCTCGCAGAAGCCTCTCAGAAGCCTCTCAGAAGCCTCTCAGAAGCCTCTCAGAAGCGTCGCAGAAGTTTTTCAGAAGCCTCCCACAAGCCTCCCACAAGCCTCTCAGAAGCATCTCAGAAGCCTCCCACAAGCCTCTCCGAAGCTTCCCACAAGCCTTTCAGAAGCCTCCCACAAGCCTCTCAGAAGCCTCCCTTAAGCCTCTCAGAAGCCTCCCACAAGCCTCGCAGAGGCCTCAGAGAAGCGTTTCAGAGGCCTCAGAGAAGCCTCTCAGAGACTTCAGAGAAGCCTCTCAGAGGCCTCAGAGAAGCCTTTCGGAGGCCTCAGCAGGAGCTCTTGGATCGGTGTTCTCCTGACAGGTTTGTATAGGAATCCTTCAGGTTGCGATCAGTCCGTTTCCAGTGGTTGCAATGCGACCGAAGTAGTTCCTGAACTCGGACGGCCAGCTGCCTATTTCAAGCCTGAATTTTCTCACACCCTCGACCGTTTCATCTAGAACAATAGACGCAGCCGTGAAGGAAGTCATTATACAATTGACAACAGTTCCTGCTATCACTATCGGGATCGTCACTGCATAGCCACAACCACCCACCTGGATTAGGGGAACAAGCAATGACATAAACATAAACAACTCTGAGGTCCGCGCGGATTTCTTGGATCGGCGCTGGACTCCCCTCCCCGGCGCGCGGAGCGCGCCAGGGGGCCCCAGCGCCGATCCGAGGAATTCGCGTGGGCCTCAGAGTTTTTGTGTTTCTGTCGTGCCTGTTCCCCGAATCGATGCATCGCGCCGCTGCTCAGTGCAACCGAGCGCCTTGATGCACCGACCCGCTTCCTTCCGAACCCGCTCCCCACCGTCGCCTGCCAGAGCCACCTCCGCACGCGCACCTGCCTGGGCGCCCGAGGGGCCGGGCCGTGGCGCTCGATCGCAGGGCCCTGCCCTGGAGGCTGGCCTGGGTTGCCGAGCTGGAGGCCTGTCTCCCCCTCCTCAGCACAGCGCCTGGGCGGGCAGGCGCGCGTCAGGAGGTGGTCACCAGTCTGCCCTGGTCTCCCGCCACGAAGTGGCGGCCTGGGCGTTGTGCTGCGTGGAGTCTGTGCCGAACTGCCAGCTTGGAGAAAGTCACTTGCGACCTATTCCGATTCACATCTTCCTCCTCCTCCTGGCGTCTCAATTTTTTCGAGCTGGGTGTTTCCCCCCAGTCTCGGGCCCCAGGACCCTCACGGATCGATCTGTCTCGAAAAGTTGCGCAGAAAGATGGGGTCCAGGGCTCCAGTCGTGATTTCCCCCGATGTCTCAATTTTTTCGAGACGTCGGATCTCAGGGTCAGTCGCCGCCCTGGCTTACAGTCGAAATCGATGTTAGGGATGGGTCGCCTGCCCAAGGGTGCGCTTGCATCCTTGCCTCCTCGGCCGTCCTTGATCCCTTTCGATGGCCAGCCCCGCTCGAAAAGCTTCTACATGGGCGTCCAAGGGGATTGCGTCCTTACCTGGCATCCTTACTATCAGTTCTGATTGAAGAAAGCCCAGCGTTCGCTAGGGACTGGTCCCCCGCCCAAAGCGACCAATATCCTGTTGAAACTCTCCCGAACCTTCCGAAAGGCCTCCTGGATCCTTTCTGGGAGGGTTTCTTTGAGGGGTTCGGGTAGGTTTTGGTTGTTTTGGGGGGAAGCCAGTCCCTGGCGAACCCTCGACTTCCTAAGCCCTGGCTGCAGGTGCGGTGTGGCCGTGGGCGACTGCCTGGTGACCGTCGCGGGCCACGAGGTGAAGAGCCTCGGGAAGAAGGACTCGGCGGCCAGACCCGAACCCTGCCCTCGCCGATCCACGACTCGGGCAGCTCGATGGGCGGCGGGGGCGGGGCTTGGAATTCGTCGAACACGCGGCGAAATCCAGACCCTACCCTCCTCCCCCGTCGATTCAAGGGGAATCGATGGTTGGTGGGGGGCAGGCTTCGGGTGTCGCCACCGGAAGGCCACCATCTCGGCCCTCCGGAGCGGGCAGAGGCCCCTCGAGCTGGGCTTCAAGCGCGCAGGCTGGCGGGGCCCTTGTGCTGTCGGCAGGGCCGTGACACGCCTCGGCGCGGCTGCGCTGCGCGGCGCGGGCGTTCAAGGCTGCACCATTCGGACCCCAGGGCCAATGCAGAGTCGATCGACCCGACTCGATGCCCATTTCGCCTGGCTTGATCCGATTCGCTTCCGATCTTCGGGCGATCAGATGCGGCCCGATGTTTGCACCGCTCAGTGGAGCATCCTGGCGTGGCCAAGCCGATTCGATAATCCTATTCGGTGCCGATGCAGCCCGATCCAGCGCACATCTCGATCCTGTGCCCACTGATCCTGGGCCAAAGGGTCGGGACAGGTCGCTCCAGATCGTGCCAGATAGCGCTCAGAGTGTTCGGGAGCTCTCTGGAACGGCCGCGGCGACCGAGACATCCTCGAGGACCGCTGGGTCTCAGAGGTCCTCGATCTGTTGGATCCGATGCTGTCCCGTTCCTGGCTTCGTTTTCGTGCAGGCCCGCAGCGGCTCCCAGGATGCCCGGAAGGCGGAGGCCGTCCGCGATGGAGCTGCCCACGCGGTGGCTCACCGAGCGCGTTCCGCTATTCGCAAAGTGCCTACTGGCAAACGTCCGAAAAATATCGTGGACGTTGATTGATGAAGTGCCTACTGCTTCGATGAAGTTTAGCGTGGATTCCCCGCGGCGAATCCAGGCCATTTCCGAGTAGTTACCTTGCGAGTAGTGGAGCGCGTTTATCTAGTGGCAGAGGCCAGGGTCGGGCGCCGTGGAGGCGGGAGCCTGCCGTGGCTCTCGTGGGGACGGGTGCGCCGATAGAGGGCAGGATCGGGGAAAAGCGGAGTGCTCCGGTTTTCTGGGGCTCCAGGCTGCTGCCGCTCTCTGACGGTCTTGGCGTGGACTCAGGTTCTGACGTGCCAGCTCGGCCTCGCGTGACATCTGCAGCGGGAGGCCGCGCCAGAATTCAGACCAGCCTGGCAGTTTCCTTGGCGGTCTCGTCAGGCAAACGCCAGTCGCCCAAGCTTGTACCTTCTTTTTCTTGTCGACAGGGAGGGCGGACTGTCTAGAGCATTCTAATTGAATTCTCATGGGGTTGCAAGTGCAAACTAACTTTTGTACAGATCCCAGATCCACAACATTCTGTTCAACTAGCATGTCGCAGACCCCATGTCCACAGCATCTTGACTACATGGTCATTCGAATTCAATTGGATTCCAAGTATACTGGAACATGTCCTAAATCCATACCGTTATGATTCGACTTTAACGGGATTCCGATACCAAATGCGGCAGGTCCCAGGTCCAGAGCATTTGATCTAATGATATTCCGCTTGCATGTCATTAATTATGGAATTAGGCCAGATCCTCTATCCAGAGCACTTCGATTAGATTCCGTTTAAGATTTCAGGTTTATGCTATTCAAAATGAAGCGGATCCCACTCCCATACCATGCGGATTTGATTTTATTTTAGTTCCAACCAGAATGAAGGAGATTTCCCGTCCAGCGCATTTGAGTTGAATCTCAATTCGATTTCGATCCAAAGTCGCAAGACTTCAAATCCAGATCGTTTGGATTGAGTTTTAGATCTGATCCAACGGACTTCCAATGAAAATGAAGTACAACTCGTCATCATCATCATCGTCGTCGTCGTCGTCGTTGTCGAACGTGATTTGGCTTACTACTGCGTGCGTGGGGACACACAGGTCACGAAACATCCATCGACGTAGTAGTAGTAGTAGTAGTAGTAGTAGTAGTAGTAGTAGTAGTAGTCGTAGTAGTCGTAGTAGTAGTAGTAGAAGTAGTAGTAGTAGTAGTAGTAGTAGTAGTAGTAGTAGTAGTAGTAGTAGTAGTAGTGTAGTAGTAGTAGTCTAGTAGTTGTTAGTGGTGGTGTTAGTAGTTAATGTAGTTGTAGTAGTAGTCGTCGTAGTACTAGTTGAGCTGTAGTCTCGTCGTCGTCGTAGTTGTATTTGTAGTAGTAGTAGTAGTGGTTAGTCGTCGTCGTTCGTATCCGTAGATGAGGATGAAGTAATAGGTAGTGAGGTATGTAGGTAGGTATATACTCGCAGTAAGTTTGTAGTGGTAGTAGTAGTTGTTAGTAGTAGCAGTAGCAGTAGTAGTAGTAGTAGTAGTAGTAGTAGTAGTAGTAGTAGTAGTAGTAGTCGTAGTAGTAGTAGTAGTAGTAGTAGTAGTAGTAATAGTAGTAGTAGTAGTAGTAGTAGTAGTAGTAGTAGTAGTAGTTGTATCAGTAGTAGTAGTGGTTAGTAGTCGTATCGTAGTAGTCGTTACCAATGTCTAGTGTAGTACTAGGAGAAAGAGTGGTAGTAGTAGTAGTAGTAGTTAGTAGTCGTATAGTTAGTTGTGGTTAGTATGTAGTAGTAGTAGTAGTAGTAGTCGTAGTTACTAGCAGTAGTAGTTGAGTAGTCGTTAGCGTTATATGTCGTAAGTAGTAGTAATGTAGTAGTTACCAGTCGTTTAAGTAGTGAGTAGTAGTAGTTGTCGCTATAGGATGACGAAGGAAGTAGTAGTAGTTGTAGGAGTAGCTAAGTAGTTATAGTAGTTGTTGTAGTAGTAGTAGTAGTCTTAGTAGTAGTAGTACCGCCCTCAGCCAGTTAGCAGTAGTAGTGGTAGTTAGTAGTAGTAGTAGTAGTAGTAGTAGTAGTAGTAGTAGGTAGTCGTAGTAGTCGTAATAGTCGTAGTAGTCGTAGTAGTCGTAGTAGTCGTAGTCGGAGTGGTAATAATAGTAGTAGTAGTAGTAGTAGTAGTAGTAGTAGTAGTAGTAGTAGTAGTAGTAGTAGTAGTAGTAGTAGTAGTAGCAGCAGCAGCAGCAGCAGCAGCAGCAGCAGTAGTAGTAGTAGTAGTAGTAGTAGTATTAGTAGTAGTAGTAGTAGTAGTAGTAGTAGTAGTAGTAGTAGTAGTAGTAGTAGTAATCTTTCGAGGGATCCTGTGGCTTTCCTTGGGGTTTCTACGGGTTCGTGGGGTTTCCAGGAGATTCCTCAGGATTCCGCTGGACTCCTAAGGGGTCTTGAGGGTTCCTGGATGCTCCTCGGGCATCCTGGGGGTTCATAGGGGTTCCTAGGGATCCCTCGGGGACTTGATGGGTTCCTACGGGTTTCGATGGATTCCTGCGGAGTTCTGCTGATTTTTAGGGGTTTCTGAAGATTATTAAAGGTTCCTGCTATTCCTATGGCTTCTTAAGGATTTGGGGGATCATTCGGGATTCCTGAGGGTTCCCACGGATTCTTGAGGATTCTTGCGGGTTCCTCGGGTTCCTGACGATTCTTGGGGATTGTCGGCAGGGTTCGCCGCGCTCTGTTTGACCCTTGGGAATGCTTCCGGGGGGCGCCCCATGATGGGAGCGCCCTGAGAGCGCCCTGGGAGTGGAGCGCCCTGGGAGCGCTAAGGGAGTGCCCTGCTGGTGGACTACGGGACAGCCTCGCGTTGTGACGCTAAACGTTTCGAAGATCCAAACGGTCCTTGATGGCACCGAGCTTCTGGTCGCCAAACGCCTTTGCCAAACACTTCGAAGATGCAGCTAGTGGTTGTCCTGGTGATTCATACCTTCGGAAAGGAAGTGAGCTTGCGCTGACGATGCGGCAGAAGGTCGGCAAGGAACTCCCGCTGGAGGTCAGGTGGGCCTTTGGTTGCGATCCGCTCACTCCTGTCCACGGTCGTGCAGCTCAGTTGCAAGAGAGTGGTGGGATCAACAGGCCTTCGGGAAGGTAAGGTTGGTTCGAGCGGTCTTCCCGCCCCTGGTGAAAGATCCCATCCGCAAGCACCTGGATGTTCTTTTCACGGAGTGAAGGACTAAAACAGGGATTCGCCACGGCCTCGATGACGTGGACAGTCACTGCGCTGAAGACCTATCTTGGTGGCCTGTACACCAATTCCCCGATGCAGCGTGAAGCGGCCTGCATCTGCGGCTCGTGCGGCATTATATCATCGAGCGCAGCAGGTGCCACCACTTCGCGGCGTTGGCCCTGCGGGGTGACATGCCCAAAAACTCTCGATGTCTCCTGGGCCTGGACGGAGGATGCTTGAGCTTCGTGGTAGCCTTGCACCACAAGTCCAGCGCTCCGCCGTCATATGCTGGTGCTGGTGGAGGCCAACCGCCTTGCTGTTCGGCTTCCTCCCATATGCTTTCAGGTGGGGGTGATGCGACGCCAGGATACGCACCAGTTGGTTGTGAATGCGAGGGGGGAGGGTCAGAGTTGAGTTCTCCGTCGCCTGAGAGTAGCAACGTGTGTAGCAACAGCTCGCCTTCGGTCTCATACATTGCGTTCGTTCCAAGTTGTTTCTTTCCCCCCGCTCCCCGTCCGCCGTATTCCCTTCCTCCCGCCGCTTGCTTGTGTGCTGCCCGTTCGTTCCGAAACGAAACCAGACACGTTCCTGCTTTGTCTGCGCAGCGCAGTAGCGATGTAACTCTGGTGAACATGTATAGCAGCTCTGGTGAAGATGTATAGCAGCAGTGCAGCAGTCCAACTTCAGCATCTTATAATTCTGCAGCGCCTTCCGCTTCTGATGTTGCCCCTTTCGCAGCATTTTCACCCACAATCTCAGGCAGGTGCAAGCAGCCAGAGGAGGGGAGGTAGTCTTGGCTCGCATCCGGAGTGCCGACGCTGGGGACGCTACGACGCTCGTGGGTAGGGGGGAAGCGGGCTGCCTCGCCGACGAAGGAGTTGGGCAGGGGGCGTCCGCGAGCCGAAATGCGCTATTCCCGGACCGACTCCTCCTCCTCCTCCCGTCCTCTCTCCTCCCCGCCCTGCCCCCTCCTCCCGCCCCCCTCCTCCCCCTGGCCTCTCACCGGCACTCTCCTCCTTCCTTCCTCCCCCTCTTCCCTCCTCTTTCCCCTCCCTACTCCTCCTTCCTCCTCTCTCCTCCTCCTCACTCTTTCTCCTCCTCCTCCTCATTCCTCCTCCTCCTTCCTCCTCCTGTCGTACGCTGCTACTCCTCCTCCTCTACTCCTCCTCCTCCTCTCATCCCCGTCACCTTCCTCCTTCCTCCCTCCTCCTCCTCCTTCATCCTCCTCATCACCCTCCTCCGTCCCCCCTCCTCGGCCTGATCCTCCTCCCCCTCACCTTGCAGGCCCGCCAGCGTCGAAGTCCTTCGTCGCCGAGGCCTCGCGGGCCGCCCCGGGCGCCGCCGCCGCCCGCGGTGGTGGTGCGGCGTCAGGCGAGCCGTCGGCCGCCGCCAGGGCCTGGTGGGCCTCCTCGAGCCGCGGCGGCGCGGCGCCTGACGCGGGAGGCTCCTCCTTCCCCTCCTCCTCCTCCGCCTACTCCTCCTCCTCCTTCTCCTCCTTCTCCTCCTTCTCCTCCTGCTCCTCCTTCTCCTCCTTTTCCTCCTTTTCCTCCTCCTCCTCCTCCTTTTCCTCCTCCTCCTCCTCCTGCATTCTTGTTCTTCTCAGGAACTCCGCCCTGTTGCACTCCGAGACGTGTCTTTAGTGCGGTCCGTGCGTTTCGCATGTTTTTCTCCACCATTTCTGATCCTTGCGCTTGAACGCCGCAGCAGTTTCACAGATGGAGGGCGGGCCGCTTTCAAAATGAGGCTCTCGCCTTATCGCCGCGCACATTGGGTTTAAATCTTTGCAGCAGTTTCACGGATGGAGGGCGGGTCGTTTTCAAAATGTGGCTCTCGCTTTAGCGTCGCGCACATTCCTTTTAACAGTCTGCAGCAGCTTCACGGTTGGAGGGTGTGTGTTTATCGAATTGCCGACCTCTCCTTAGCCGCGCTCATTCGTCACTGACGTTTGCAACAGTTTCAAGGAAACGCATGGTTGAAGTCCCATGAATGGCATTCTGGCAAGATGTCAGATTGTCAGGATTCAACCGTCGCGTTAGTTCGCGGCGTCGAAGTCCCAGGAACGGTGTTTATTGCAACATCTTTAGTGCGCCTTCGGTTTGCAGTGGTCCTCCTCCTCCTCCTCCTCCATCTCCTCGTCCTCCTCCCCTGCTGTTCTTCCGTAACCATTTTGGCCCAAGGGCGTCCGCCCCTTCGGGTGGGTTTCGCCCTCGGCCAAAATCGCCACCACTGGCGTTTCCCTCGAGGCCTTATTTGGCAGTGCGTGGGTCGCCGCGGTGCCGTGGTGCTGCGCGAGGAGAGCGAGAAGTGGAGCAGATGTAATGCCTGGCACGGGCGTGCTGGTCTGTCGGGGCGTGGAATGGCCTGGATAAGTGGCTGGATTGCGGCGCACGTGCCGCTTGCCCGCGACGCCATCCGTGCCCTGCACTGGGCCGCGCGGCGCGTGTGCTGCCTTCCTGTTCGCCGGCAGTGACGTGCGGGATGACGGGTTCGAAGCCGGCGGAGTCGGTTGGTCATGGTCTTGGGGCTTCCTCATGGCGTTCAACATGGAGATGGAATGATGAGGTTTTGGAAGGTTTGAGGGGCGCGCGCAGGGCCGCCCTTAGCTGCCTCGATACGCCCGTTTTGAAACGCAACATGTCCCGTGTTCAAGACGTTCGTGTTCACTGGCTCAGCGTATTTACCCACGTTTTGGCGACCGTATCGCGTCATACCTACGTTTTCAGTTTACGTGTTGAGCTCCGTATCAATACGCTACGTGTTGCGTGTTGGG